TATTTAGGTGTAAAGTTCTGTGCCAAGAAAAAGTGATCGACTCGGTGATATGATCGACTCGCTGATAAACCACGTTACTTACTTTACTCTCTTTAACGACTAGGTGAATTGATAGATAGAATAAGTTAAAATATAGAAATCAGGAGTTTATATAAATATTTTAGAAAAATAAGTTCTAATAAGCGAAACGTTCTAACTATTATCTCCTCGACGCCCCGTATATATATTTTAAATTTCAGGTTTTAGGTAAGTTATCTACTTTTTATTTTAGTATAGAACCTAAGGATAGTACTACTTAAGCCCCGTAGCTCGTCTAAGTAGTATTCCGACTATTCCGACCGCCTAGATAGGAAATTATAAACCTAAAATTTGAAATTTATATACGAGCGTCGAGGAGATAAGATAAAAGAAAGTCTTTTAATTATAAAAGGAATTTAATAAGTTTTTATCTTTACGTAATTAGAGTTTCTCTTTTATAAAAGAGTTTAAGTAAGGATAAAGTAAGTTAAAGTATAAAAGCTAGTAGTTTGCGTAAGTAGTTCTAAAGGATATGTTTAAAAGGATAGTGTAACGAATACTCAAACTGGCTAACTAAACTTGGCTGGGTGTTCGCTGGTTGGTATGCTATGATAAGAAGAAGACTATCGGGTTGTTCACTTGGAAGTGAACTCGTTACTTGTATCAAAGATGTCAAACTGATATGATAAGATTTATAACTAAGTTGAGCACGAAGCTCCTATCTAATGGCAGACGTGCCAGTCTTATATAGAACCTTCATACCCCGCGTATGGTCCGAGTATAGAGTAGTATAAGCCTTCCTTATACTTCCTTATACTCCGGTAGTATAGAGTAGTATAAGCCTTCCTTATACTTCCTTATACTCCGGTAGTATAGAGTAGTATAAGCCTCCCTTATACTTCCTCGCGTATGGTCCGAGTATAGAGTAGTATAAGCCTTCCTTATACTTCCTTATACTCCGGTAGTATAGAGTAGTATAAGCCTTCCTTATACTTCCTTATACTCCGGTAGTATAGAGTAGTATAAGCCTCCCTTATACTTCCTCATACTCCCTAGTCACATGATCTTCTGTAAGGAAGAAATCCTTGGATCGCCTAGCTACCCTAAGCGATCCCCATTTGCTATAAGAAATCTGAATGTGCCTGTCGAGGGTTGCGCCTCTTATTATGACAAGTATCACGTGAACACGTGATTCGTGACAGATAGAGTCTAATAAATGAAACGGTTCGACTATTATAAGACGAAAGCCTATTACTTAAAGAACAAATTGTACAAGTTTTCGTCTTAACGTAATCGGAGTATCTCTTTTCCACAAAGAGGTTCACTTAATAGAAGTGCTATGAGTTTCTTAAGCGACACATCTTTCACACCAGAAAACATCCGTTCACCTAGTCCGTCAAAGATGATATTCACCAAAGATGCTGACAATTACAAAATCTCCACACTATCACAACCATCTTCGACTTCTGAACTTCTTTCCTTCTGGAGTCATCCCTCCCAAGAACGACTATTCCGCCAATCATGGCGGATACCAGCGCACGCTCTTTGGCGCTTTCGCGAAGTATGTATTACCCCCTCATCGCATCCTGCCTTCTCTACTCGACGATAAATCATCCTCGAAGCCAGAAGGCAGATATATTACCACAACTTCATGACAATCCCCATCTGTGAACGATCAACTAACACCAAGAACCAGTATTGGCGCAATCCAGACCATCTACCTTCGCACGCCAGGGACTCCCCGCAGAACTAAGCGAGAAAATCCTCCGTTTCTGCCTCCCCAGCGTCGAAGTAGATGATCAGGGCCGCCAAACCATCAAAGGAAACGACTACCCAGCCAGTCTCTCCCGACAAGCCCTCTGGGTCTTATACCAGGTCTTCCAGCCCGTGATGCTGGAGTCGGACCTGGCCCACTCCCTCGACACCATCCTCGCTTTCGGTGTTCCTCTCAAGATGGTTAGCAAGCCGTTAGCTTGGGCTGCGCTCGTCGTAGATTTCTGGCATGGCCCTATATTTGACCAGGAGTATAGAGAGTATGCGGTTACTACTGCGGAGTTTCTTCCGGGTGTTGTCTCGATGGTTAATGGGTGTAATTATGCGAGGCCGCTTGGTGTGCCGTTGAGAGTCCCTGGAGCGGTGTGTATGGCTAATATCTACTGCGTCGCCTTTGATTTTCGGATCGATGATGTTTCGAGAGGTCGGCCTGGATATGTGAACAAGCTTTTTGATGGGATCAAGGTAGTTTATCCAAAGACTGACAGTTTCTCTGGCCTGAAATTGATGCTTCTATTGAGAAAGAGCAAATGCTAACTCAATGCATTCCCCACAGGGTCTCCGCTCGCTTACGAACTCAGAAAACCCTCCAAAAAGACTCCAAATCAACTTCAGCGGCATCAACGCCCTAGACGAACAAAAAATCTCATCCATCAACCCCCTCATCCAACCCCCCCGCCTCACAACCTCAGAATCCACCCTCTCAGCCAAAACCGCAATGGACAAAGCCTCTTCCCTCCTCCAAACTCAAGACTACGCTTCATCCATGATGTGGCTCAGTCTCGCAGCCAACACGACCGGCTACCACGTTGGACACCTCAAAGTATCACCCGATCCCTTCCCCCTCCAGGTTCCGATCGCGCATGATCTTCTGATCAAGCTTTCATTGAGTTCTCCAAGGCGGCGCGGGGGATGGGGAAGATGTTTTTGGCGTGCCGGATGTTGGAGCGGGGACGGTATGTGGCGAATCGGATGTTGGATGGTCAGAGGGTGCCGGATGAGGAGAAGATGAGGGTGGTTGTGGAGCTGGTGTATGACTTTCCTAGTATTCAGGTGGTGGAGAATTATCGTGAGGCGTTTGGTTTGCATCGTCTGATTGTGAAGTTTCCTAGTGAGTTGCTTTCTAGTATTATTTCCCCTTTTAACTATGCATTGGAAGATCCTATGAATCCCAATATTTTCATTTTCCCCTTTTCAGAAACATCAAGCTGACAGCAATCCCAAAACAGACGACGAACACCCCAAAGAACTTAAGAGAGACCTCATCGAGATGCCCATCAACAGAGCCTCCGCCATGATCGACCGAGGCTCCTACGAAAGCCTCGAAACCGCACGCATGCTCCTGAGCCCCCTTCCAGCATACAGACGCGACAACGACGACAAACCGACACTCAAACGCCAAAAATGGTGCCGCACCAAATACCGCACCCAATACCTCAAGCTCTTCCCGCACGTCATAACCGAACTGATGGCCGGTGCAGACCCAAAAGCAGGCTATCTAAAGTGCATCTCCGTCATCGAGGCGGGATTGAGAAAATTCCGCGGTCATGGCGAGGTGAAGCGATATGCCATTCGACAGGGTTGGAGGGTATGTTTTGATCTCTTGGTTGAGCGGACGAGTCGGGAGTACGCGGATGATTTGGTGGCTAGTGAGGAGAGATTACCAAACGCGTTGATTACGAAACCTTTTCCTAGGACGTACTTGTCGAGTTTTGAGATGGCAATTGAGGAGGTTCAGGAGACGGCTAGGGGGAAGGTGCCGGCGATGAGGAAGAAGGAGATGAGGTCTTTGAAGCGTGAGGCGGATGGGGAGTTGGAGGGTGGTTGGGTTAAGTTTATGAAGCCTTTTGCTTGAGTTTGGGTTGGTTCTGGGGGTTTCTGTGTCCTGAATCTCTTTTTTAGGCCGTAGTGTACTTTCTAGAAGCAGATATCTTGAGTATAGGTTGAATTCGGCGGTTTGTGTGCCCTTTCTGTCGTTCTTAGACAGATTCTTTCTCTCAGGAGATATCTTGGGTCATAGCCTTGTTAGGGGTGTAATTTCTCTCAAAAAGGTTGATGGTAGCAAAATTGTAGTTTAGCAATTGACTTTCTTAGCCATCCACGCTTTCTTTCTCCAACTGTCAACAATTGTGAATTTGTGCTCAGAGAACATCAAATCACCTCAAAAGCTCAAAACATATTGTAAAAAATCATACTTTTCATTCATACTCATACACACTCATGCATCTATTGGATCGCATGTAAACGAATATCCTCAGAAGAGGTTAGAAAAAAAACGCAACGCAAACTCGCACCCCCTAGCAGGACCGCATTAGGATCGCTTATTCCAGCAGTTTTCTACCATCCCCATGAATCTCGTCCCAATTCCATAATGAAATGAGGAAGAGGACTTGCGAAATCGTAACGTCTTATCCATACGTGCCCCAGCCCCCCACACACCTGTCCCCATACACAATCCATTTCCAAACCCCCCTCCATTCCCTCCCTCAATGCTCCCCAATCATCTCCTCCAATTCCTCCAGGTCCTCCTTAGGCGGCGGCCCATGAAGTTTATGCATCAACTCCATCCAAGTCCCCTCCACCGGCGCATTCTCATCAATCTCATCGAGAAGCCCCCCACTTAGCTGCTCCCGCTTCTGGAGATTCTTAATAATCCTCCAAGCACGACGGAACTCCTCACGGATAGCACAAATACCATTATGCGTTACGGTTCGGGCAACGTTGTGATCAAGCTCAAATGGATCCTCGATAGCGAACAGGTATCTGTGTCGGATCTCCTTGGTCTCCTCAATTTGTTTGGGAGGATGCACTTTTGGATTTTTGACATCTGAACTCTCCTCTGCGGGGGGTACTTCAGCTGCTGGATCGTTACTGTCGGTTGCTTCGGATGCTGTCGGGGATCGTGCTGGTGGTGCAACCACATTGGTTTCTACCGTGGTCTTCGCACCAATCCAACCTTTCTCCTGCTTCGACAGGATTCCACCTTTGGTTCTAAGGCTCAACACCTCTCTTCCGTAATCAAATCCCCTATGGGGAATGGTGGACATCTGACCAAGCTGCGCGTAATATTCGAAAAAACCTCTTAAGAGAAAACCCAAGCTATCATGGTTATGAGTAAGCAACTTGCGGTCTGCAACACTGCGAATCTCCGACTCATTGCGCCAGAATCGGACATCACAACCATTGCAAGTTGTCCGAGCAGCGATTTCTGCTGGTGAAAGATGCTCAGGTGGCTTATTAGCACTTTGTTGCAAGTTTGGACACACGAATGGTTGAGCCACGTTGACAAGATAGTGGAGAACCATAAGAACATAGCCATAGCTACTGAGCGAGCCTCTATATGGGGTGTTGATCGCTCGAGTTTTTGCCCAGTGCTTGACGAATAGGACCATCTGCTTGACTCGTGGGTCACAATGAGAATAACAGCGGAGAAGCAACGTGTTGTGAATGGCGAGGTGAGCCGAGAAGTTGATATCGCATTGTATACCTATATCAGTCTTTGGAAACTCAAGGTGGTCCTTGTACCGATCACGAGGTCTGTTTGAGGAAGGGTTGGGCAAAGTGCGAACGCGGGAAATCAGCTTGACTGTGTCGCTGTTAGTTCCAGATATGATAATTGCACCCGACTTGGTGGCATCGGCGCTCTCGAGAATCTTGATATATTCCTCAATGTCCGGAACGTCTGTTTCCTTGAAAAGGTCCATCTTCAATGCGTGCTTATAGTCTGCTGCAAGCTGCATGATCCTATGCTGAAGAGCAACGCACTGGAGTGAAACTCCGCGTTCTATAGACATGCTTTGCAATCCCTCCCGAATCCCTGGGCTATTGATGCCGTTGATGTAGTATCTAACCACGACGGGGGTAACAGCTTTATTCCTCTCCTGTCGATCACTTCCTCTAAGAAAGTCCGCAATGCGCTCAGCACGTGAATAGTAGTCGAATGGCTCTTCATGCTGATATTGCTCAAGGTATACGAGCTGCAGCGATTGAATCCTCTTCAGTCTATCGTTTAAGATTTGAAGCTCCTGGCCGTATTTCAGGGCTTCACTGAAAGATACAGGGGACGGGTGGCTCTGCGAGACGTGCCAGTTGGCAAGGAGAGTAAAACATTCGCGTTCGCGAGCATCGTGGTCCTCGCTGAGGGGGCGCTTATCCCATCCCATAGCCAAGCGCTCACCTTCAACTTGAAGTGAAAGCCCATATAATGTTCGACAAATCGGCTGTTCTTGGGGGTGAGGTTCGAACAGAGGGGAGATGGAAGGATATCCTTTCAAGCGTTCTAGCAAGCGCGGAGAGGAGAGACCAGAGATATATGCTTTACATACGTCGTGCAAAATCTTAGACTCGCTTTCGTTGAGATCCGAATTTCCGACGCAGTAGTCTCGACCACCAACATTTCCGAGTACTCGTCTAGCTAACTTTAAGTATTCAAGGTGTGAAAGGTGTTTTTGCTTTAGGTCCGCAAGCTTTGATAAGTACGACTCCTCTGTAGCGAGAGCAGTAGGACTAGGTGGAATATGCTCAGAGTCCTCACCACGTTCTGTTTCTTCGACAAACCCAGCCTCCCACTTTTCGCGTGCTTGAATAAGGTCGGATCTCAGCTGGTCTGTTGGCTTCTCGCAAAGCTTGATTATAGGTACTCTGGTTCTAGTCAACAACCTTGCGCCGAAACCCATGTCGAGGAGGGTCTTTTCGAGTAATCGGGGTATGGGGGAATCCGGGGAGTCGGGAAGTTGCTTGGACTGGGGACTAAGGAGCGCAAGATCCATATCCGATGATTTGGTCGCAAATCCAGACATCATGCTCCCAAAGCATTGTAATTGTACTGACAAAGGGTCAAATTGTTTGTTGCCAAGCTCATCTTGTTCGTAGGAAGCAATTGCTTTTCGACATGCTTGCTCCACCATGGCTCTGAAAGTCTCCTTTTCAGCCTCCTCTTTTGAATCCATCGCAACAACAGGTACGTGCAAGCGCACTAACTCGTCAAGATGAGAACATTGTCTCGCTAACTCCTCTGAGGTAGGGGGTCTTTGATTTATGCCACGATTTTGGCCATGATGCGGACCTGGCTGATAAAACTGTCTCCCTTGGGGTTGAGTTCTTGGAGAGTAAGAGCCAGCGATGAATGGCTGATGTTGCGTATTTTGACGTGAACCATGTGATCCTGTGTTGTGGGTGATTGACACAGGCGAACGTGGGCTATTTTGGGGGAGAAAGTTTTGTTGAGAGTTAGGGGTATGCGGTCCATGATGCTGAAACTGAGGCGAGTTCCCTTGGTGCTGATTTTGGCGATACTGGTTCTGCTGCTGGTGGTGATGAGGTGGAGTATGTGTCCATTGAGTAGGCCCTCTACCAGGGGAAGTACTGAAACCTGAGTGCTGGTTGTTGTAGTTTTTCGTTCTGCTGTTGTCAATGGGAATGGACAAAGTTGAGTTCATCTGCCTTCTCTGCGCTTGATTGGGTCTCTTGCCAGGCCTTGGCGCTGTGACATGAGGAGGAGTAGACTGCTGGGAGGGAGTAGCTTTCGCTTGGGCTTGGGCTTTCGCTTGGGCTTCTGCGAGCCTTCGTTTTCTCGCATTCTCCAGCCATTCAGCCTGCGCTTCTGGTGTCGCTAGCCTCAAATGAGGTGGTACCTTGATTTCATCTGATGGTAGAGGCCTGGCTGTGAAAGGTTGGCCGCTATTGGCTTTAGCTTGGGCTTCTGCAAGTCTTCGTTTTCTCGCATTCTCCAGCAATTCTGCCTGCTCTTCTGGTGTCGCTAACCTCAAATGAGGCGGTACCTTGATTTCATCTGATGGCAGAGGGTCACCTGTGACAGGTTGGTTGATATTGACTTTAGGAGATGAATTTGCATTACTGAGTATCAGCCCTCTGAGACGCGACTCCAGATTACCGCCATTGCCGTTGTCGTTGGTCTTGACAGGAGCAGTGACCTTTGAAGGAGATGGGTCAGACATCTCAGGTGTTTCAGTCTTTCCGATATGGGTAATGTTGGCGCTGGTCGGTCAATGAAGTGATGGAGTGTGGGTGAAGGAGCGTTGGACAGGGCCCCTTTTTGCAGTATGGTTGTCGGTTTGTCGACTGTCACTTGAGGTTGTAGCAATTTCTTTTGTAGACAATTTTTTTTCAAGCCGACTTGCCGAGGCTCTTAGAATTGAGATAGACCCAGACCGATTCACCAAGAGACATCTACCTCCTAGCCTAGGTAACCTACAAGGTAGATCAGGTGACAGTTTTGAGTCTTTGAAAAAACTCTTTACGTGAACCTGGGCTGGAGCTTTAGTTTCAATAGACTGTGGCTTTAGGAATTACTCAAGGGAACTAACTAAGGTGATCTCTTGTTCTTTTAGAATCGTTTCTTAATGTGTAGTGTGGTGGTGGTCAGCTATCACCTGCAACCTTTCTGTTTGCTAGCGTTATACCTAGTATTCACCTTGTCCGGGTCGGATAGGTAGAAGTAAAAATCGGCCCAATCAGGGCTAGGACAAAAGAGAGAGTGGCAGGATGTACACATGTGGTCAGCCACATCTATTGTCCTTACCACAGGATTGAAGAACAAGGGTGTTTAATTGCAGGGATGATGGTTGGCAGTGGCAGTGATAGACAGGTGCTGGAGGTAGTGGAGAGTGGTCATAAAGTTGGGTCCTTGACCTTTGGAGCTGCCAAGGGCGAAGCGTATGTAGCCACGGCAGGTCACACAGGTCACACAGGTCACGCACGCAGTACAGCCCTTCTATTCAAAACTTCCAGGTGAGCACCAGCCACAGCTGCACAACACTGCACAGCCACTGAGGCTCCAGGAGGTTGGCCCCGCCGTGCTTTCCTGTTTGGGTCTAGCACAAGGCTAACTCCCTAGGTACAAGACTAGGTTTGAGTGAATCTCCACAATGACAGTGACCAGGTAGGCAACCGCCTGACATTGACTTCCAGGGCATTCCTTTCAAAACAACAAAGGTCAACTCCATCTCTCAACCTCGACCTCAACCTCAACCTCAACCTCGACCTCTACTCATACTTCCCATCCACCTTTCACGACGATACACGACGATACCCATTCATCTCAGATTACGAACTTACGACGACCAACGATTGCGCTAAACGATTATCTGGCAAAGCGCAAGAACGTACCCTACAGAGCGGCGCGCGCGTGTGGTATCATCACAGCTCTATGAAGGCCTTCTAGGCAGTCAACGTTGTAGTTGGTGACAACCTTTCGCGCATTCAGGGCAATCTTGCTCACCTTTCAATAATTCTCAACATCCCAAATCCGCCTAATACTCATCATTCTAATCAAAAATCATGAACGATACAATCATGAACGATACCAACATAAACGACTCGCCTTCAGCTGCATCAAATGGCCAAACACCTACTCCCAACAGTGGTGGTGCGCCTCGATATACCCGCAAGCTCAAGGCTGCAGACCCTCTGAGACCTCGCAAGAAGATCGTCAGAGCACCTAATATTCCCAAGGGCGCTGCTCCAATTCGGGTGGTAAAACGACCAGCAGCGGCCCCCGCAAGAGGCTTGTATCCCGTCAATGGCGTCGCTCCTTCCACGAATGGCGCTGCTCCGGCTCAAAAGACCCACGATGGCTGGACTCACGCACCCAAAGGACGTGTCGTCGACTTTCCTCTCTATACGACCAAAAGAGCATTGCGCGAGGGTCTGAGATATCATGTTATCCGCTTCAGCAGCAAGACCGATGTAAACCCTGCCAACCCAGAGGAATTCATCCGGCCCGTTACTTTACATAGAAGAGACCCTAAGCAACCGCCTCCAGGCCAAGTCGGAAAGGAAGAGATCGTAGATGAACAACCGATGGATCCCAAGGAGAGAGAAAAGCAAGAGATACTCAAGGCGGAGAAGGAGCGCAAGAGAGCTGAGGACCAGGCCCAGATTGCGCCCTCGAGAAATCACCCAGCACAAAAGAAAAATCAGGCTTTTAAAGGAGAGAAGACAAGCCAGGTATTTCGACTGGACAAAAACGAGGAAGAGAAGAAGGCATCGGATTTACGATATGAGGAAGCCCTGCCATGGCATTTGGAGGATGCGGAAGGCAAGAATACTTGGGTCGGAAATTATGAGGCTGCTTTGTCAGACACAAACGCAATGCTCGTCATCGATGGGAGCAGATTCTTGATGGTCCCAATGGAGAAGTGGTACAAGTTTACGGCCAAAAACAAATTCAGAGCCTTCACGATCGAAGAAGCCGAGGCGCAATTGAGCAAAAAGACGAAGGAGGCGCGTTGGGTTATGCAAGAAGGTGAAAAGAGGATCAAGGCACCGCCAATGTCCAACATGTACACGGTCAAAGCCGAAAGTAGAACTGCGCGGAATGCAAACAAGAGTGAGCTGGCGGAGATGGATGATCTCGATTTTGCCGAGGGTGATTTGTTCCAAGACGATGATGAGCAAGCCACTGTTGAGCCCGACAATGATGAGGACACCAAGGAAGCTCAGTCTAAGATCAAGCGTGAACAGCTCAATGCCAATATCTTTGATCAGGCAGATGAAGCTCAGGTTGAGAAATTGGAACAGAAGGAACGTGATGAGGATGAAGCAAGGAAAAGAGCTGGCAAAGAAGTCAAGAAGGCACTGACTAAGCGCGAGAAAAACTATCTTTACGATAGTGATTCCGACCATCCTTATTCTGATTCAGTATGCATATTCGTCTGATTATTGATCATCAACTGACAAGTGACAGAGCGAGGACGATACTTCTGATGAAGAGAAGCAAAAGGAAATCGATAAGCGAAAGGATGAAGAGGCAAAGAGCAAGCTAAAGGAGAAGGAGAAAGACAAGGCGACCGCCTCTAAGCTCCCTTCTGGTGCATCTTCCAAAGGCACAAACACGCCCTCTGGTCGTCCCAAGCACACTGATGCGTTGAAGGGAAAATCCAAGAATAACCTCAAGCGATCAGGATCACCAAATCTTTCCGAGTCATCTGGCAATGAATCTGCTCGAAAGAAACACAAGAAGAAGCATTCTTCTCAACCTTCTGGCGCAAGTACACCCATTTTTGGATCTCGCCCCTCCCCTGCACCTGCATCACAACCCCTCCCCGGTCGAAAATCTTCTATCATTAAACTTAATGTTAACCCATCCAAGGTCTCCGAGATTCAATCTTCCACGTCGAAACCCGGTAGCCCAATGAGTGACGGCGAAGCTACTGGCGGAGAAGACGGCAGCAAGAAACGCAAGATCAAGCTTCGTCTAGGTAGCACCCCATCCGGTTCTCGTGCCGGTAGCCCAGAAGCCCGCCCAACTGGCACAAGCAGCCATGCTGGCAGTCCTATGGCAGCGTTGGCAGGTAAGTCATCCCTCGACATTTCGCTGGTGATATTGCGTTTTCTTTTTTTTTCTTTTGCTAATACTTATTTCGCAGGATCTCCAGCCGGCGCTATTCAAAGTCACGAAATTATTGCGGCTCTTCCTCCACAAGGTATCTCCATTGTGGAATTAATGAAGCTTTTCAAAACCCGTGTTGGTGATAAAGAAGGCCAGACTAACAAGAAGGCATTCATTGCGTTGGTCAAGGAAAACTGCAGTTATGGAGACAACAAGCTTCTCCGACCCAAAGTACAGTAAATGATAGGCATGGTTAGGCTCGTGGGAGGTCATTTGAAATGAACGTATCTGGCGTTTAGGGTAGAGGTTCATCTTGTGCCAGGTCTCTGGTTTCTAGCAGATTTTCGGTTCACTTTCGAGGCCTTATGGTGGCATTGTAGAAAGACAGTATCGTCCTTGGAGAGATTGTACACGGGGGGAGGGGACATGAAATGTCTGCAATGACATCCCGAATTTGGGATCGCAGCTGAGCGCTGCCTATGTACTTGGTTTAGACTAATGCCAAAAACAATATACACATAGACCAACTTCCATACTCTTCTTTCGTGACTATGATCTCATCATTCATCCATCTGCCACGCAAAATCCAGCTCCTTATTCCTAGTCCTCCGATTCATAGCTTTAAATCTCTCCCCTTCCCATCCATTCCCCCGATCAACCCCATCCCATTTATGACCCGGCCGTATCCCATACCTATTCGGCTGCGCAGCACCCTTATACATCGGTTTCCCCGTGACACTCTTCCCCCCCTTCTTCTTGACCATGAACTGGGCCGCGGGATCATTCCACCGCTCCACCTCCTTCAACTCCTCGTTCATCTCCTTATCATCCACCCCCCTCGCCAGGGTCATGAACCGCGCCTCATCCAGCTCCTCTCTCCGCTTCTCCTTCATCGCGCGCTGCACATCGCCCTTCTGCGCTTCCTTCTCCTCGCGCTCCTTCCGGGCGGCTTCATCGAGCTCACGACGCGCTTCTTGTCGTCGTAGGGAGATGTCTATTCGTCGACCCGTGGCGTCACGGTAGACTGTCTCTTCGCCCTTCTTCTTGCCGCCCTTGTTGGGGGATGTAGATGCTTGCTCGGCTTCCCAGGCAGCTTTTTCCTCCCGCCTGCGCGCTTCGAATTGTTTTGCTACTGCCGCGGCGCTTTGAAGACCCGCGTGTGTGCCATCGCCCATCTTTACGACGTTCTCGTCGTCTAGTACCATGGGTTCGTCTTCCTTCATCTGCGCGGCGTTCTCATGCGCGGCCTCGAGGAGGATCTTATCTGCTGCTTCCTCCTCCCCATTTCCGTCTCCTGACCCTGCGACTTCATTTGGTAATTTCCCCACCGTTTTCCACGCGCTCGTCTTTGCTTTGCGGAATTCGGCAGAGTTGGTTTGCAGTGTTGTGGGTGCGTTGAAGCGATCTGCGTTTGTGGTGTCTTGCGAGGCGGCGGGGTCCCAGCCTAGTGCGTCGTCGTCTGCTATTATCAACCCGCTGGTTTGGCATTTCGGTGTCTTGCGTTTGCGTTTTTTCCCTGAGGGGGGTTCGGCGTTGAGGTATTTGGATGCGAGGTAGCTTGAGAGAGACATTTTGGGCTGTGATGAGGTTGAGATTGATGGGGTTTGTTGAAGAAGTGATTGAGTCCCCAAGGAGGTATCGCAGGGCTAGAGATAGTTTGTGCTGCTGCGATCTTTGAGCTATGGTGAATTGAGCGTTCGTCTCTTTGCGATGTAGAGATGGGATGGTAAGGCTATGTTGTGGGTGTGTTTAGGTTGAGGTCGAGGCTGATCCGTTAGGCTTGGCCAGATTGAACCATACCTACACAATTAAAGTGGGGCTGTTAAGGAGGGTGGGAGGTCCTTCCGTAAAAGTCTATTTGAAGTGCATAAATAGTTGCAAATCCCCCACCTCTTTTCTCATTCCTGTTACCTATTTTTTCACTCAAGACCCGTAATGTATCTCCCTTTTCTTATGTTCTATTTCTAGATTCATTATTACGGTCTCGAAGTCGGGACCTGAGCAAGGGGAGGGTATTATCTAGATTGTTTTTTTCTTTTTTAGTATCTTTATTTGTTTTGTTTTTTTATGTTTGGCTTGCACTTCTCATGAGTGATGTATGTAATTTTGAATGTACATTTACGGTTGTACCAAATTGATAATCAACCCCATGCTTGAAGGTACATTTACGGGTGATTCCCGCATCCCTGGGGATTTCAAGATCAAGGTGGGAGGTAAAAGTGCACGCTTGTTGTACAGTATAGTATGGCTCTGGTATTTTTAACCCTCTGGTTCTGACATGGGTTTTTAACATCATTATTAGGGGCTTGTGTTCACTGGGACCTACAGTCCTACAGTATAGTGCAGGTTCCTTGAGGCGATATTTTCTGACTGGATAGAGCCTTAAGGGTTAGGTTGCTCAATACCTTCTTTTGAACCTCTAAATCTGTATTGTCCCTCATCGCTGATTTGTTGTTAAACTTTTAGGTCTATTTTCCTTTAGCGTAACTTTTCTCCTTTAGCATAACATTTCTTGCTTTAAACCACGATCGCTAAAAACATAGTTGCTTGCCTTTACACTCAGCTGTAGTGTTCCTATTGCAGCAAAGTTCTCGAAAAGAAATGTACCTTACAAGGATTTTTAACACCTGTCAAGGTACTGAAACTGAGTGTCAATACATAACTTTTATGGCCCCCAAAAGAGTTGTGGCTGTGCATACCTTCAGCCTATCGGACATCAATTTTTTTCATGATTATGTGGTAGAATACCTTGCCCAGTGGCTAAAAGCAAAAAGGATTTGGTTGGCATTTGAGCCTCCAGCTAATATGCTGCCACTTCAGTTATGACGATATTCTCACCAACTTCACTACCTCATACTCGTGACACATGTTCCATAATACTGAAAAGCTTCATTCCTTCTTGACACCTAGTCATAAGCGAGCGAGTTTTATTATCATGTCTTTCCGGGTGTCGTTGCCTTCATCACTCCCGCACAAGGCTTACGAAACTATCATGCCGTTGACACTGAAGATGACCCCAGATAAGGTCCCGTCTTCGTTGCACGATGGTATAAAAGTTTTTCCTCAGTCAGATATACAGAGGGACCTCACGGTAAGGAAGAGCACGACATCAGGAAATAATTGTTAGTATTTCTTTTGCCCCTTCTTCCTTTTGCTTTTTTTTTGTTTCAAATCGCCTCCGAAGATTTCCCCTTTCTCCTCTGACTTCAAATACCTAGTTTCGCATCTCGAAGCATTATTTGCACGAACTTTTCGGGACCATATAAAGCCAGACCATTCCAGCAACCTTGCCTTGGTTGCACTTATATCCTCAGTATATTCGTACTTGTATATAAGGACGATAGTACGGAGTCTTCTAGCCGATTCTCAAGCAGGCACCTCCTACTCCTTGAAAGTAACCGATGTAAACGAGGCGATCGTATCATTGGAAGTTCTTCCGGAAGGGATCGATCGAAAAACATATTGGGAATGGGACGAACAAGAACAGGAACTGGGAAATTCGATTCATGGCAAACAGAACTTTGACATCTCCACGGACAATATTAGTACTGCTTGTATCAAATTCTGCACATTTGGCATGTCCTCCCTGACCTCTGGGTCTGTTACCAGCGCCACTTCTATAACGTTAACGGAATCTAGCGTGCCCTCTTTAGATTACGGGTCTGCTTCAACACCTTCGAACAATGGTAAAAAGCGAACGGGATCTGAAGAAGACAACGACCGTTACCCTTCCGATAGTGAAAAAGGCAAGGCTCCAAAACAGCCAAAGATCGATATGGGTGCGGAAAATGGACAAGTCCGACTTGCATGCCCCTACCGAAAGCACAATTCAGTAAAGTACAGTATACATGGTTCGCGTGTTTGTGCAATGAATTACTGGCTGTCTGTTTCTAGAATAAAGTTAGTGTCCCTCATATTCGACTAGACCAACCAATTAACAAAACACAGAGAACATTTATACCGAGTCCATCGAGCACCAATCCAATGCCGAAGATGCGGGGCCACTTTCAAAACCGAGAGTGAGCACGATTCTCATATTACGGCTCTCACGGCATGCAGCCTTACTTCATTTCCACCCAGTGACGGTATAACGGGGGATGTCGAACGAAAGCTACGAAGCCGGAAACAATCTCCTACATCTAAAAGTGAGGCGAAGCGTTGGGAAAACATATATCGGATTCTTTTTCCCAATGATGAAGATGTACCTGAGCCCTGTAAGTTTTATCCGATGAATCTTCTTTCGTTGCCCTGCTAAGAAGTAAACGAGACTTTGAACCAATTCAGGAGGAGACGTTAAGGACACCAAATTTGGTCGACCTGAATGACTACGAGCTTTTCTCGCGCCGGGAATACCCAAATTTGATCCGCTCCGCCTTACGTACCTTGAGCCCCTCATTGTCTTCTGAGACTTGGGTAAATGATGTGGCTGAGACGATTCAAAACTGCCACCAAGTTCTCCTATCAAGCTACAGGGCCCAACACGTTTCCGACTCCACATCTCGAATGATCTCAGAATCAGATGAAGATGCACTATTCCTAGATTGTGGACCGACATCAATTTTCCCATCGGCCTCCGAAGTTGGAACCTCTCCTGAGTCTATCTTCACCCAGCCAATTGAAAATTTCGATATAGATTTTTCAGATAACTTTTGCCATTTTTTGCCACTCACTCCGACGCAAGGGGGGTTTGGGACCCGTTTGTCGCGGAAGATGTTCCTCAGCTTTACTTGAATAATCCCTCGACAGTTTTCGAGGTAGAGAAAGAATAGGAGCGTTTTATTCCATCTACCTTGGAAGAATGGCGGCATGCTGGGCAGATTCGCGAACGAAATAGGTTGAACGTTCGTTCATGAGAACAAATATTCGCGGGTGTTACATTGGCATGCGATTAGAAACAAGGGTGTATCTGTGATGTTTTATATATAAAGGATCTTCTTTCTTTTCAGATCCGTCCTCGCTTATGGTTCGTTTTCTTCAAGTATGGTGGTCTGACTTGACTATCTCACAATATTTTATTGGGATATCATCCTCCCGGAAGTTACTTTATTATAAGATCTAGAAAAAAAGTATTTATCAAACGGCCGGTTTGATCAATAAACTAGTGAATTTCTTGGTAGTAACCATACTGACTCAAGATACTGAAATATGCCAATACCCATCGAAATCGGCGTCAACAATGTTGGAGGTTACTTCCGCTCCATCGTAGAAATTTCCAAAGATTTCCAAAGCAACTAACTAACTATAAAAAATAGAGAAATATTTCGTTATCGTTAAGTGTTTCATATGCCCTCAGCACTGAAGTTCATCATAAATCGTTATCATAAAGTTGCTTCCTGCACACTAAATCAGAACCCAAGGAGAGAAGCAAGAAAGAATACGGTCGCTTTGGATAGGTTTCGCAGTCAAGCTCTTCCACGAATGTTGCCCAAGAAAGTGACGAGCACCGCCGCATAGCTAGACAAACACAATCAATTAGCTACACTTTTCTATGATTCGCTTGAAGGAGTTTACTTGATGCTACTCACGTTGAAGTTCCGACGAAAACAGTGTCCACTTTTCCCTCAGTAAGAATCGATATCATTGTCGCAAAAGCTAGAACAAAAATCAATGCCGTGGCGGCTGCGAGCGTATCGCTTAGCTCGAGCAAGTATAGAAGAAAGATCGGAATGAGTAATATGGTCGAAGCAACACAAACAAGCACGATCCTTGCCCAGAATTCGATCTTCTGTGAGGAGAATACGTGAACATCTTTCTCTTTGCCTCCTTGTTCTTGTTTACTCTTTCTCTTGAATAATCGCTACAGAATTTGTCATCTCTCCGCATGGCATAACAATGATATGTAGACACCATTATCTTACCTTCAAGGGTGACCACTCAGGCCACCGACTCAAACAAGATGTGATCACAAGATCAAACCCTGTGCGAGGAGTGCTCACAGAACATACAAAGTCTTCTTGATGAAATGCAAAGTTGTCTTGCCCCGGATTAAGAGGTCTCCTTGTCCGAATCCAGTTGAAAAAGCTTTTGAAATCCCGAGACTGTGGGGTAGGCAAGGCTCGCAGTTGGCTGTCTTTGAGCAGTATCTCATCTGCACTGCCTTGTAAGCTTCTGCTCGAACGCATGTAGGTATCTGAGGATTCGACGTTGTATATCTTGCGGATTGGTTACCATATTGCAGGATTGTAGTTGTCAGTTTGTCAATTAGGTCTTTCTTAGACCGATCCCAACCTTCCTTCCACTCGTTCCTTATTCGATAACGCATACTCGTATTTTCTGAATCTGCTCTGTCAGACGAGGCAAGCTGCTCCTCTAAACTGGTTATCTCAACCTCAAGACGTAGTAAGAGACGAGCATGTGTATCGCCGAATCGACGGAAAATCGCAACACTATCGCCGCTATTCTGAAAGGCCGAAAGCATAGGAAAACCCAAAGGATGACTTTCAACTACAGTCCAGATAATTAGCTAAAGCCATTGCGCTGGATGAATAATGTAATGACCATTCCTCTTAATCAACTTATTGTAGCCGTATTTCTCATCATACGTTTGCCTTTGGGTGACTACCTCGCTTTTTTTCTTTTCGGCCGATGAGCCGCCATCATCGGAGCTTCCGATGGGAGTGTCTTTTGGTGACACAGGTGCCGATGAGTCTGCAAATCAATTCAGAATATTGCGGATTCTTTTTAAGCGATACAAAAGGGGAGGGGTAAGGACCTGTTTCGTCTAGTTGACTAATTGATTCAATTGCAATGTCAATTTCTTCTGTTATCATCGCTCCACTCGTTCTTCCATATGCTACAGTATCTTCTGGTGCAGATGCCACCTTCGATGATGGTCCACTCTTTGGTGTTGAAAGTCTTTTCATGTTGATATCTGTCTTGACAACGGATTTTCCCTTCTCCGCGAACTCTGGGTTAGCTGCAGGATCGACAACATTGTACGTTGGAAGAGAAAGGCACGAGGCTTGGGGCCATTTCAAACTTCATGGGAGCAAATATGTTGGCGACCTTCTCCATGATGGTTGAAACACTCGCTATCAACGACATTATATGGCAAAATTCAACTTGACGCCAACAAGGCTGGAAAGAGGGAAATTTCATAAAAGGACCGAAAACCAGAGACTACTACCTGCTATATAGGTTTGTTCGACTGCGGAGAGGAGTAATCTGGGACCGCTGAAGGTGTGCCCCCCTTTAGCAACAGCCTTATGCTTTGGGCAGACTGATCTAATTATCCGTGCCCGACAGCGTAGCAGTAGCCTCACAGTAACAGGCATAACGGCTATTACAGGCAGTGCTCTATGCAAGGCAACGCGCGTGCAATTTAAATCCCGAGTATTGCTGACCATAAAAGGGTTGTGCAGGGGTGAGTGATGGTGTGGTGTAGTAGTGTAGCGGTATTGTGGAGTGGAGTGTGGGTGGGCAAGGAGGGGTACAGGAAATATCGTGAAGGTTGCTTACCAGATTTGAAGATGGGGCGTGAAAGCACGACTAGCAATTGTGCAGATCAAATGTATGGTCTTCCACAAGCTCGGTTCTGGGGAGAGGCTACTTATATGGTAGAAATACAAAAGTGGAGTAGAAGGTTCGATGCAAACGCCTGCAGCTGCAGCGGCAAGACACATGCATATTTATGGCAAGCATGCGTATAGTACCTTACTGTAGTCGAAGCGGTCTGGATCTTGTTCGATATTTTATGACTTCTGCGTGGGACAACACTCACTTTGCTTCACCACTTATACGAAAGCAGAAAGGAAGAAATGAAGAATATAAGAACATTAATGTTGGGTAATACCACCGTTGATGATGAAGCGACGACGGCAAGATAATTCTCATCCGAACGAGCTCAGCAAATATCGGACGATATGAGAAAAGACCTGCCGCCCTTTGAAAGAGAAATAAAGACAGATGAAGTATATTCAAGCGCACCAAGTCCTGTTTTTGCACGTAACATTTATTCGCCGCATTCCAAACCGCGCCTCCATCAATACCAGCCAACAAATGACATACGAAGACTCGAAACCCTTGTGCTCAGAAATGGATGTGTTTTTGTGTTGACAAATGTGGATATGAAGCGTGCTCCGAGAAATTCCTACGAATGCTGTCGTCGATGGAGTGGATCCATGGAGAATGTTCAAATAGTCTGACCCGCAGAGAAAGTCCCAAGGAAATATGTGCAGATACGCCAAAACTTTTGTGTAACTTCTATCGAGCCATATGATGGCAGCCTTTGCAGGCACATATGTTCTAAACCCTTTTCCAAAACGGTATGTTTCGTTATAAATACATGGAGGGATCTGGCGGTGGAAATGTTGTCGAACATGGTTGAGGTGTTTTTTTTTCGAGAGGGAAAGAGAAAAGGGAGACCGCGTATGCGAGGAGGAAAATCCCCATGAATTGCTCTCGACTGGGAATGCCGATTTAGGGTTTCTTTGGGGTTGGACTTGGGGGATCCTGTTGACGATCAGCTTGTGCCAACATGGTACAGAGTGATGTGTTTACTCACTGTAGAAACTGTTCCGCCAGACTTGACGACTACATGATCGCCCCTAGCATTGTTGGGAGTGTTTCCGGTATCGGGAGCCCGGAAGTTCGGTAAGTGACTCTTCATAGTCTCAAGTATACACTCGCCGCTTGTGACAGGTGGGTAGATAGGCTGAACAAGTTTGAAGGTAAGAATATTTAGTTGAAGAGAAGAGACACAGCACAAAGAAATCTTCTATGTAAAGACTAGCGAATAGGATAGCAGGGCCGCAAAATCAACTGCAAGAGGCCGATGGAGCTTGCAGTAGAAGCTTCAGCGGAATACATCTATAATCCACTTGCTGGTCCCAACAATGGACCCCGGAGCTCGAGCTCCCCCTCACCAAATTGGTAAAAGGTTTGCTGGCAGCAGTAGGCTCCAGCAGGGGAGTCCCAGGGAACACATCTCGTATATCAACTGCCAGATGATGTTTCATGTTCCTTGATTTGATGGCGGAATGAATGACGTCGCACCCGGGTGTGGCTGGAAAAAAGTGGCAGTCTCTGTTCCTGACGGTTAGAATGACAGCTTGAGTAGGTGCCGATTCTTCCTCACCGTTACTTTGTTTCCTCACCGTCACTTTGGACGGGTGCGGTCCGCATCAGTAGTTGAAAGCTCGTGTGTCTCCTTACTTTTCCTGAAAGATCAAAAGGACTTAAAAACATGTTCGTAATACAGATATTCGGTTCAAATGGAACAAGAGAGGGACCCTTTTTTCTAAATCCCGAATCTGGCTTGAAGCCTATATAGAATTATATCTGGAGGAAAGCATAATACGCCAGACCAGTTTTTCGCACCTGCGGAGGAGAGACTGCTGAAGAATAAAAGAAAAAATCGGGCGTGGCGTGCTCAGGGGTTAAGCGAGGCACACAACGATCCCTGGCCGTATCCATTTGAGGCATCCATTTCAACGAAACATAACGAAACACAATACACTTGTTAAATGAATTAGTTCTTCGAGGCAATCTCACTAGTTTTGTAATCTCCGGTGAAAAGTTGAGCTTACTATTATGTGGCAAATCAACTGTAAAGATGCACCGTCCACCGGGAGACCACTCCCAACTTTGCTTGCCTATGTCATTTCCCTGCAGCACTCTCTTCTACTCTTGAAAGACGCAAACAGGCTCTTTTCAGCCAACAGAAATTCTAAGTGTTTGGTATGGTCTCTTATTGCCCAAGACGCTCGACGACAGGGTGCAAGCTCTACCTTCGGTAGAGGAATTCTCTAGAGTCTAGAGGAGTTCTCGGGTTAGGGTCCAGCCGGTACAGGGATAATCGTTGAAAGGGCTTACACTCCTGAGTCACCAAGAAGCTCTATAGAAAACGTTGAGATATGACAAAACAAGCCAATAGTTACTCCGTTATATGGCGGTCTCAAAAGTTGAATGGGGAGAGAAAAATAAACTTGAAAATGGATTTTCCCCGCCCATGGATGCTTATTCTGACGTCCAGGCGAGTCACTCCGCCTCCATATGCCGTAGATCTGCTCCAGGCATTGTCAGCCCTGTGGACCAACTTCCCCTGCAAGGTTTCGGGGAAGGATGCTTTGGGATTCCCAGGTAGGAGGAATGACCGAGTATTTAATAGACTTGGGCTCCCACAAATATCAATGGATCTTTCGAGGCTTTATCTATTATTACGGTCTTGTTCTTGTCTTCATATTCGTATGTTTCGTCTTTCGTTCAGTCATCGAGATTAAGTCTTTTTTTCTCATTCTTTATCTCTTGGGAGCTCTGGATGCCGATATTGTCGCAGGTCCTGTTGTTGAACTTGTTCCGAAGCTTGCTACAATCTTAGCTACGCGCGTTATGGACTTTGAAGTCTGTGAGGGAATCGCTGACAGAGCTATCTTGTAACTATGGCATTCGGGAAATGAAGTCTAGCTACAAGTGTCGCAAGCAAGCAACTGCTTACTTTGTACGAGGTCTTCTCCAAACCTGCTAATTGAGACCAAGAAGCACTCCCCCTTGGAGCGAGCGGTAGCGTTGTTTCGGTCAAACTAGGTCTCGAAGTTACTTGCAAAACCTGTTGACCAAAATTTACAGTTCTTATCCCCACGAGTGGAAGAATCAAGAATGACGAGGACGAGCATCTCAGTGTTCTCCATCCCGTTGACTCGATAGTCGCTGCCATCGAATTGATCAAAATCGACTTTCAAGACGTCTCGAGACACTTCAACCTCAACATCAAAGCAAGAGAGAAGATCATGTACTCCTATCCGCTTTTTACGTTGAAAACAAGTGTTGGGTATGCGGTCAGTCAGGGCGTCGGTGTTGGTCTCGTTGTGCTTGTCGACTTGGTGTTCATCGTGAATGCTGAGGTGGAGCTATGAGCTGGTTTCGCCATTGCATTTCCTAAAGGTGCATAAATCCTCGTCGACCCACTTGGTGGTAATATTACGGACTCCATTTTGTAAGCCCCCTTTCACTGATTTTTTCACTAGTCTAATTGCTGACAGCTCATAGCCTCATTCTCAGTCCCAATGCCCATGGCCAGATGTATCACGTTCCAATCACTGTGGCATCTGGCTCCACATCATTTCATGCAGCCCTTCGAGTACGAATTCAAGCAGGTACAACAGTCGAGGTCTTTGGATTAGGGGTATATTTTGAGCTGGGTGTGTTTGGCACTGTCATCGAATACAAGTCCTCGCTCGCCAGCACTTCACAATACGCACTCCAATCTACCGAGTTGCTCGATACAAATATTGGACCTTTTGTCGAAGCAGTGGCTGTTATCGACTATAAATCTTTTGGTGCAAGTCCCACGAAAGCTATTACTATTGTGACCGGGAACCTGTATTACGAAAGGTGTTTCCAAGACGACAACGAAAGAAAGTGTCAAGACGACCATCTTGCCAAATAGCTCGATTTCCACTCACTCCACCAGAGCCTCCAACGCTTCCTACTCGGGAGAGAATCATTCTCGTCCAGTCGCCCCCACCGGGCCCGCCCCGAGTGCAAGAGTCACAAGCACAGCAAAGCCAACCAGTTCATCCTCTCACCAAAGTTCTGTCTTGTCGTCTTCCACCTCCGATGACGATAATGATGAAACAGTTCCTACTGCGACCAACATTCAAATCCTCACGCCAGACACCCTAGCGACCCCAATCGTTTCAACTATCTTCATAGCAAGATTCCCACAGCCAACTTACAATGTTACCACGACACATGCAGTCTATACAACAGCTTTCCCACAATGGAATGCGACAGGTATTTATACCACCACGTATATTGGACCAAACAGTGTTCCCGTGGTAGTCGGCCAAGCAAGTGATGCTCCTGGTGTTACCGCGACTGGTATTGAGTCTCCTGCAGCGAGCAATACTTCACCAGCACCAGCAGCTGCTAGTACTACGAAAGCTAGTAGTGGTGCGCTATCTATGAGAAGTGGTTTTCTTGTTGCTGCTGTAGTAGGATTTTTAGGTTTCGTGGTTGTTTTGAAATAGGACGATTTGGTATAATGTGATTTCTTTTTTAATGTTTAGAATCTTGCATAGGATAGAATGTATATTGAATACTTCCCAATTTATGTTCAATATTCACTAGCTAGTCTCGTTAATGATCGGTTGAAAACGGTAATGGTGCCACAAAAAATGTAACAATTGAGCGAAGATGCGTCCCAGCCACAAATTGTAGACTGCCTATTGTGCTATTCACCTATCTGCCCACGCGTTTCAACATCAACGCCAACATACAAACCCATTCCCATTCCCGCCGCCGAAAGAATTAAGCAAGAAAAATAAAAAGATCATCAAAACCCCTCCCAAGAAATGCAAAAGACAAGCTCGTCTCACGCTGACTCTGATTAACTCTGCAACCCTACTCTTATTTGAGGCCGGGAAGTTGGTTTATCTGGCAAATCTTACCGGTAGCTCATTCCACCAGGTGGATGTACTTTTATGAACCTTTCGATTGCTGGGATGGGATGTCCTATTCGTTGTTTTAACTTGCAGAGATGGCTGTGGGGGTTGTGGGCCCGTGCAAACCCCGGGAGATCTTTGGGTACGAAAGGCCATTGGGTGATGGAAGCTGGAGGGTGAAGAGGTGAGGGGTGAAATGAGAGACAGGCTTAAGCAGGAGAATTTGGGCGGGAATAAAGGGGGAATCGGGTAATTTTTTGGGGATAAATTGTAAAGTAATTTTTTCTTACTACTCTTTTCCAAGGGTTTCACAGGGGCAATATTTTTAGTGGCGATATAGTTGGACTTGAGCGTCGCGCCAACGATTAGATGTAAGTATGCTTATACAGTTTGATTAGGAGTGGATCTGATCTCTTCTGTCAGTTCAAACGAGCCTTTTCTTGGCTGCCCGTTTCTTCAGTGCCATAACTGCCAGTATTCGTGATAAATTCAAACAATTGATTCAAAATAATGTACCATGCTGTGGTTGTTATCTTGAAAAGTATTTAGTGAGGAGCATACGAGTAGAGAAGGATAATGTCTGAGCATCTTGCCATTTATAACCACACTCTTCGAGACTTATTTCAGCCGCCCCTGTGTCTAAAATCTGTATTATGTTGACATGATAAATGTAGGTTCTGTGTGGGAAACTGTCGTTGCTGCCTCGTTACTATGTTTTGTAAGAGAAGGTTGAGTACGTTACCAAAGGCTCCCAAAGGTGGGTCCCAATACACTGACGCCCCGGCGTCAGTTTAGAGCTGACTAAGCGCGGGTTTTCACGCCCCCCCACCATCCACGAACACTCTACTTATACCTATAATTAATACATGCTTAACAAAATAACATATAATAAATCCTACAATATATATCGCTCCGAGTCTCGCGCATANGGCGTCAGTTTAGAGCTGACTAAGCGCGGGTTTTCACGCCCCCCCACCATCCACGAACACTCTACTTATACCTATAATTAATACATGCTTAACAAAATAACATATAATAAATCCTACAATATATATCGCTCCGAGTCTCGCGCATACTCCTCCTCAAGTCTAGCCCATATATCCCTACTCCTATTCTCAGTATTCCTATTCCTATTCCTAATAAACTCTGATTCAAGCATATTATACTCATCTTGCTCCTTCTTTTCCTCGTTATCTAGCCATGCTATAATCTCCTCATTTGTCCAGTCAGCTTTATTTGTAATAATAGTACCTGTAAGATCACGCCGCTCCCTAGGCATATAAAATACCTGCTCTTTTAAAATTTTCTGTCAAGGTAGGGAGGGGGTTGATGAATAGATTGTTCGCAAAGCTCTCCAGTCTACAGTTCGAAGCTGAATTACATACAACAGG